CAGTGGGGAGCTTGCTTCCCCCCACAGCTCTCTCCTGCCTCTCTGCCTACTTGTAATCTGTCAAATAAATAAACTCTTAAAAAAAATTTTCTGAAGATTTCACTTAATACAGGAATGTTAAATCAACCTATCTCTCTCTGGAACATCGTACAAAATCTACAAAATCTTCCCGAGATGCAGTGCACAGTGTGGCTCCCTCAGAGTTCATCATGTTTAGGGGGCCCTGGCTGGCTCAGTCAGTGGAGCATGCAACTCCTGATCTCAGGGTTGTGAGTTAAGAGCCCCAAATTGGGAATACAGACTACTTAAAAAACCCAAAATCTTAAAAAAAAAAAAAAAAAAAGGTTCATCATGCTCATGCTTAACATGTTAAAAATGTTGGGTCTTCCAAATTTTCTTGCTGGACAATACACTGAAAAAATGAGTTAGGAAACTATTAATATAGTGAAACTGAACAAAGGCTTTATAGATATGGCTAACTATATGTCAAAGGAATAAGCTCAGTAAATAACAACTCTGGAAATATTTGAAGCCTGCTATTTAGACAAATCTGCATGAATTTCCAAGATGTAGTTTTCCGACAAACTATCAAAGTCTGAAATGCTGCCAAATGTGGGACAGTGGAGCAGTAAGAAAGAACTGGTGTGATCTAATATAGCAAATCCATGTTCTATTTTTGGAGACCATATTTCTATATGCCTAAGAACATGAAGCCAAGAGCTAGTATCAGAAAGGGTTAAAACAAGTGGGGGGTGGTGGTGGTAAGGAGCTGAATAGAGTAAAAATATTAAGGAGTAGATTTGGAATTTTTTTTTAAAGGTTTTATTTTAATTCCTGTTAGTTCACATAAATATTATATTAGTTTCAGGTGTACAATACAGTGATTCAACAACTGTAGAATTTTTCACAAGTTGGTGATGTACTGCCACTTTTGAATCTTTAACAACTTGGGTGATGTACTGCCACTTTTGAAAGAAAGGTAATAAAAATTATTGACAAAAAATTGACAAATTGGTACACATTTTATGAGAATCTAGTAAACGCCTCCAAACACTGCTGGGAGAACAGACTGCCAGATGAAAAGAACAAGGATCAATGAAATTACATTGTGAGCTCCATGAAGACAGATTCCGTTTTATTCTGTATTATCCCCAGCAGGTAACAGAACTTTATGTATGACGGACAAATGTTAAGGCTTAGGGGTTAGGAATTATTTTAAAGGAGTTTGTTTATTGAATTGTAAGGCAGTATCCCCCCCCACAAAAAAAAGCTATTTCAATATTTAATACCAAGTAAATATACCCATTAGATCTAAACACAGCTGTCAAAAATTCACAATTTATCAGTATGCCTGGATGGCTCGGTTGGTGACTCTTGGTTTCAGCTCAGGTCATGATCTCATGGGCCTTGGGATCAAGCTCCATATTGGGCTCTGCCCTCAGCAGGGAGCCTGCCTAAAGAGTCTCTCCCTCTGCTCACCCCCTTTCTCTCTCACAAATAAATAAATTCTCTCTCACAAATAAATAAATAAATAAATTCATAAATTATGGGGCGCCTGGGTGGCTCAGTAGGTTAAAGCCTCTGTCTTCGGCTCAGGTCATGATCCCAGGGTCCTGGGATAGAGCCCCTCATTGGGCTCTCTGCTCGGCGGCGGCGAGCCTGCTCCTCCCCTCCCCCGCGCCTGCCTCTCTGCCTACTTGTGATCTCTGTCAAATAAATAAATAAAATCTTAAAAAAAATTTAAAAATTCCTAATTTATCTTTTCAGTTTCTCATAAAAAACAACGCAAACCTAATCCTACTTTCCACTGCCATTATACAACTCATCCTTAAATAATTAGCTTTGTTAACAATTAAAGTCAGAGGAGAAAAAAAAACCCTGTAATTTTAGTAAAAGGAGTAAAAAAGATATAAGCAGATGGGTTCCATGCAGACCAGACTCTAAGGGAGTAAAGCTGGCTAGCTCTGTGGCTTTTGTCCTCTAAGCCAATTTTGAAAGGAAAAAAAATACTGGAAAAGAAAACATTAAAAAAAAAAAATACCATAGCATGAGTTATCATGAAGCCAGAAACTCTGTTCTTTTCTGCAAACCTAGTATGTACAAAGATACATATGGTACATTAATCTAAAATACATTAGGTACAGGTATTTTGAGGTAGTATATTATTATTTAACTATCCTTAATATGACAAGCAGGAAAATTCCCAAGTAATGAAAGACAATTTCCTCATCATCTGTACCTAATCTCTCCTATTCAACCTCTCTTGAAACAACTGCACATCCCACAGTACAGTTAACTAAATATCCCTATCACAATCTCCTCCCAGATTTTTTAAAAAATTAGATTATAATTTCTCAAGGCTCTTTTCCCATAAGCTTATGACTTAACCCCACTTGCTCTTTGTAATACTCTTTGTTAACTAACCTGTCATAAACTCTCTCTACAAATCCACATCACTAAAATACACCCCCAGACCAGCTGACAGTAGTAAGCAACAAACTCCTTCCTTTGCTTTATGTTTAGTTTTCTCTCACTCTTCACATGTTGTTCCTGGGTACAGAAGTTCTTCCCCCACCCTCTTTCACTTAGTTTAGGACTCTATGCCTGCTTCCCAGAGGAAGAATGACAAAAGATACTTCTCCAACTGTGGAACTGGCTCTGTTCTCTCCCCTCCCCCTCAACCCATTCCAGTGTTCATCTTATTCTTTCAGCTCATAGGGAAGGGAGAAGCTGAGAAATCAGTCTAGAGACTTATCCCATTAGCAAATCCCAGATGGATACAGACTGAGGAAAGCAAGAATTGGGAGAGTTTTTTTTTTTAAAGCCATGTTTCATGCTGTGCCCCAACACACTAATGCCTGAAGCTTGGTTGGCATTCACTGGTCTCAGGTAAAAAAACAATGTTCTCTTTAGTGTTTCTTCCTAACATGGCTAAGAAGGGGGAGACGATTTATAAAACACTGCTAGTAATTTCCCTCTGGAGAGGAAAAGGGGACTGAATGAGAGGGGAAAAGAAAAAAGGGAAATTTGCTGTCACTCTCCCCTCACCCTCAGACGCTTTTGTATTCAATATGGAATCTAAAAAAATGGGGGGAAAAAAAAGTGAAGATATCTGCCAGAAACTAAGGTAAGTGGAATCTTAGCTGGTAGCCCCAGGTCTAAAGGTTAGATACATACAATTCCTTACCCCCTGCAGGGGCATAGGTGGAAATAGAAAAAAAGGATCTTCACTGAGTGGAGGATTCTATGTGACTGGATTTGCTTTCCCCTTCTGGACTCTCTGTTCTCAAAATCATAGAGTACCCCTCCCTGACAGATAGTGCTCCAGCACCTGGTGGGGGTAAGAGAAAACGAGAGAAAAAAAAGGAAGAAACAACAACAGCCATCTTGCCAAACTGACAACTGAATATATTATAGGAAAGAAGGAAATTAACTGCACTAACCAAGATAGAAAGTAATAAACAAAAGATTACCTCTAAACAAAATAGGCCTTCTCCCCTTTGACACACTAACCAAATATCACACAGTAAGTATTAGAAAGGAAATTTATGATTGTTAATTTTTAAAATTAAACGCTGCCACTCTAAAAGTTAGAAAATAAATGCTCAACCTCCGTGACTGGAATTTCAGTGTGTTTTATTCCAAATGCATATCTTAAAGTATTTTGACAATGAATTTTTTAAGAAACAAAAAATAAGATCTTTAAACTACCCAATGCTGTGAAAGAAACGAGATCTACACAGCATTTAAATTCTAATGGTTACAGTTAATAATTACAAACTTCGTTAAATATAATAAACATCGGGGCGCCTGGGTGGCTCAGTGGGTTAAGCCGCTGCCTTCGGCTCGGGTCATGATCTCAGGGTCCTGGGATCGAGTCCCACATCGGGATCTCTGCTCAGCGGGGGGCCTGCTTCCCTCTCTCTCTCTCTCTGCCTGCCTCTCTGTCTACTTGTGATCTCTGTCAAATAAATAAATAAAATCTTTAAAAAAAAAATATAATAAACATCGCGCCCACAAAAAAAGGAGTACTTTCCATATTAGGCTGCCCCATGTACTTTCCATACAGATTTAGAATTTAACCCAACTCCCCAAAGATGTGAGAACAATTTATGTAATTAATGGGAAAATAACAGCACGCTGAAAGAATTTACATCAAAGTTAAATTCAACACGGTTAGCATAATAACCCACTCATTGAATACAATTAACGCCCCATCTCTATTCATACCCACAAATGGGATAAAATACCGGGATTACAAATCTGCAACCAGAGATAAGGATACATTAGTAAAGCAAATCTGAAGTTACTATCTCCAACCATTCCGAGGTTTTTAAAGGGAGGGGTTGGGGAGGCAAGCTTTGCACCATGGTCAGATGCTTAAGGGGAAAAAATTATCAGGTCAAATTATTTGTCACCCCACTCTTATTCAGAGGACTGTCAAAAGAGAAAGAATGACTCTCACACTTTCTACAATCTGATGCCTCAGGAGGAGAACAGGGAATCCAAACCATGCTCAAGTGCAGGACGAACACACCCTCCTCCCTCGGTCACACCACAGGAATGTCTGATGGAAGCGGCGGCAGGAGAGATTACCACACTCTCGAGGACAGGTTGGCACAACGTGTTTTACTCCACCAAGCATTCCCAGGGTTACCACACCCCCTCAACAAGCGGGGAAGCACACTTCACGCCCGAGGCCGCTGCCTCTCTCCAACTACGGTTCTCCCGTCACACGCACACGGCTCCCCTCAGCCCCCTCCCAGCACCACGACCGGCCCGGGCTCCCCCCGCCTCCTGCGGCGAGCGACCCCCGGCCTTCACAATCTCCGGTGCCCGGCGCTCCCCGGTCCCGCTCCCCGCCCCGGCCGAGCCCTGGCTCGTCGTCGAGTCCCTCCGGCCGCAGTCGCCCACTGGGGGGAGGGGCGCGGGAGGCGGGGGCGGGCGCGCCTCCGCCTCACGCCACTACACCGGGGGAGAGAAGCGATCGCACCGCTCACCTGGCTCGGGCGGCTCCTCCCTCGCTCTCCGCCAGCGGAGCCGGGCTGTGGCTTCCGACAGAACCGCGGGCTGCCGGGCGGGCTGGAGGTCCGAGAACGAGAGGAGGGGGAGGGGGTCGGGATGCCGGGAGCCGCCTCCTTTCTCTTCCACCACCGCGGCTCCCGCAGCCAGGCCGGGCGCCCTCGCACACTCGCCCACTTTCTCACAGCCTCGCGGTCGGTGTGGCTCTCCCTCACCCCCCACTCCCACACACACTCGCCCCCACCCCCACACACACTCACACCCGGCCGCCCCTCGCTCCCTCGCTCCCTCACTCGCCTGTAGTGCGCGCGCGCGCGACCCCGCTCACACACAGCGCGCGCGACGCCAGCGGAGACCGCCCCGCGCTCCCCCAGACCGAGGCGCCGCGCGCCGCTCGCCCGCGTGCAGAGGACCCTCGCGCGCCCCGGCCCCGCCCTCCAGGCGCGGCGGCGCGGAGGGCAGGGGCCGGCGGGCGGTGGCCGGCGCGCCGAGCCCAGACGAGCCGAGCCTAGCGGATCCAACACCTGCGTCGGGACCCGTCCTCCCGGCTCCGGATCCCCACTCGCAGCCATCGCCGGCCTCTCGGGTGGTGAAGGGGCGATGGAGGGCGCGCGCTGGGAGGGAAATGGGGGCGCGAGAGCGCTTCGAGGACGCGCTTTCCCCACCCGCCCCAAACCGTCCTCACTAAGGAAGGAAAACGGGTGGGGGGGCGAGGTTTGTTCCCAACTCGAAACCGCGAGATTGATTCCTTCCGTTGTACACCCTCCCCACCCTCACAGTCCCTCCTAGGGCCCCATTCATCCACACTGCGAACCCTGACGCCAGCCCACCAAGCCTCTTGGGGACAGTGTGCTGTCTGCGTGTCCACGCCTAGCCCAGCTCAGCCCAGCCCACCACCCGCGCAGCCTTTCCGGTGCCCCCGCCTAGAGTCCCCTCAAGCGGTGGTCTCCCCCCGTCCCAGAGGCAAAGACTAGGAACAAAGATCAATACCTATAAGGTCCTTATCCGTGTACGGAATAAAGACATTGCCTCTGTACATTATGAGGCAAATTTTTAAACTACAATACACCATATATTCTCAGGACTTTAAGCAGGTTTAAAGATCTAGACGGGGTAGTGTGGTACAGCCAGCTTTAGCACTTGGAAACCAGTATAAACCCCCCAGCAAATCAGTTCCCTTAACTTCCTCCGAGCCTTTGTTATGAAAAGCTAGGAGTATGTTTCAAGGTTCCTGTGAGAATGAAGTATATTTAGGAGCATTTTGAAAATCCTCAAGATGTCTATAAAAATTATAGTCCAAAGGAAGGTAAGAGTGTATGTTCAGCTATGATACTACTGTTAATTTTTCTAAATCATGAAGAATGAAAACAAAGGCAACAGATGACTGTGCGACTTTACATGGCAAATGCATTTCTAAATAACCTCAGTTATTTATTACCACCAAGATCCCAGATATGAAATACCATAATGTCCTAACCAGTTTGCATTCTTCCAAGTCACATTCCATTCTGAATAGCCTCAGACAACAAATTCTTTCCCGCACTCCATTCCCAATCTTTATGGTCTGCTTTTTTTTTGCTGATTTCACTCAGTACTTAGTCCTTTAAGAGATACAGCATAACCCAGGGTGGTAATTTCTGGACTGGATTAGATTTAAGTGATCTTCTAAAGTACCCTGACTTCTCTGTATCTTACTCTACCTGATTACACAAGCTATCTATAAAAATATTTTATACAGGGCGCCTGGGTGGCTTAGTTGGTTAAGCAACTGTCTTCAGCTCAGGTCATGATCTGGGAGTCCCAGGATTGAGTCCCACCTCAGACTCCCAACTCCATGGGGAGTCTGCTTCTCCCTCTGACCATCTCTCCTCTCATGCTCTCTCTCACTCTCTCTCTCTCAAATAAATAAAATCTTTAAAAAATATTTTATAGAAACTATAAAAGTAGTTACTTCATTGAGTTAGTATAAGGAGTAAAGGAGCTTGTAAGTGTGTAAGACTTAAGGCCCGGCACAAATTGAGTGCTACTGTAAGTGATTACTGCTGTTATGTTTCGCCACTGAGAGTGAACCTAGGATAGTGAACAGTTTTCACAAAGGACACATTTAGAGAAACAAATGTGCAACAGGACACACTACCTTCAGAAGAAAGGAAGAAAAGTTTACAGAGCTAAAATGTTTCTATTTATTTCAACCCTGATATTCATCTCCTGAAACAAAGTATATTCAACCTGAAGACAAAAGAGAAGCATTTTGTGATCAAGGAAACCTCCATCACAGAGATATTAACACAATGAGGATCTGGCAAAAGATAAAGGGAGAAACTGACACAGGGAAAAGTTTGTGTGACTGGCTCAGGAGATTATCAATAATACCTAGCCTGTCCATTACTCTTAGTGTTAAGAAACCCAATTCTGGGTAACCATGCATCACCCAGAAAAGGAAGGGTGAAACTGTGGGTACAGAGTATTAGACTATTAATTCACCGGCCATCTGCCTTTAAAAAAATGCTATCTATAAATGTACTGTCATTAGATGCCAGATACATCCAAAGAAATTAATAATATATATATAACATTGCTCTCCACTAAAAGTAGTCAGAAAGTAACAAAAAACAGAATGGGTTTTCTGTTTTTTTAAGATTTTGTCTATTTTAGAGTGTGTGTGCACAGGCACTCTGGGGTGGGAGGGGGGCAGAGAGACGGGGAGAGAGAGAATCCTCAAGCCCACTCCCCTGCGGAGAGCAGTGTGAGCTCAATCTCATGACCCTGAGATCACGACCCCAGACAAAATCAAAAGTCTGACACCTAACCTACTGAGCCACCCAGATGCCCTGAAAAAAAGCCAAGGATATGGCTCATTTTAAACCAACTGTTATTATATATTTACATTAATGATAATCAAGTTCATACTTTATATTTTTGTATGAAGTAATGAGGGAAAAGCAATTATTTTTGGTATTTCCATAATGAAAAGGAAGGTCCAGAAAAGCTTGGTTTCCTAGACTCAGTCGTAATCTTTGTACTTTTATGGTTGATATGTTTAGACAGGTATGGACTCACATCTCCTTTGGGTAGCAATGTATGCTCAAAAGTACTTCTGGGGCACCTGGCTGGCTCAGTGGGTAGAGCATGTAACTCTTGATCTTGGGATTCTGAGTTTGCGCCCCATGATGGGGTAGAGCTTCCTTTAAAAAGTATTTTAAGTAGCTTGTCTTGGTTTTTAACCACTCATTTTTAACCATTAAATTAATATTCTTCAGCCAGTTCAATCCCTTGAGTAGAACATAACTAGCCTAGCATCTCTAGAGTCAGATAAATTTAACTTGAAATCCCAGCTTTATTAGTGGCATGTGATTGCTGTTTCAACTCTATAAGCCTCAGCTATCTCATCAACAAAATAAAGATGAAGTAACTCAAACATAACGCAGTACATAGTAAGTGCCCCCAAATATTAGCTATTGGAGCAGCTGGCTGGCTCAGTTGGTAGAACACATGATTCTTGATCTTGGGGTTTTGAGTTTGAGCCCCACATTGAGTGTAGAGATTAAAAATAAAATCTTAGGGGAACTTGGGTGGCTCAGTCAGCTAAGTGGCTGCTTTCAGCTCAGGTCATGCTTTCAGTCCTGGGATGGAGTTCGTACTGGGCTCCCTGCTTGTCAGGAAGTCTGATTCTCCCTCTTCCTCCATGTGCCCACTCTGTCTCAAAAAAATAAAACCTTTTAAAATAAGCAGATAAACACTATTTGAGAGAGAGTGCAAGAGAAAGAGCACAAGTGTGGAGCCGAAGAAGAAGCAGGCTCCCGCTGATCAGGAAGCCCACCTTGGGGACTGATTCCGGGACCCTGAGATCATGACCTTAGCAGAAGGTAGATGCTGAACTAAGCCACCCTGGTGCCCCAAGAAACACTTCTAAAAGTTCCTGGGTGGAAGGCACATAAAATTCAACGAGTGGGTGCCTGGGTGACTCAGTCCTTAAGCATCTTTCTGCTCAGGTCATGATCTCAGTGTTCTGGGATCAAGCCCCACACTGGGCTCCCTGCTCAGCAGGAAGCCTGCTTCTCCCTCTCCCACTCCCCCTCCTTGTGTTCCCTCTCTCACTGTCAAATAAATAAATAAATAAATAAATCTTTTAAAAAAAGAAAAAGAAAATTCAACGAGTTCATGAAAACTAAAAAATCTCCCCTAACAAAGTTGTCCAGGTCCAACCAACTCCATGTCTCTGATCAGACTTGTGTTGCACTGGTGTATCTCTACATCAGGCAGAAAAACATAACTCATATATTATTACCTAAAATGCACATCAAACAAAACTCTTTAAGTACCCCCATAGACACCATCTGGTGCCAATCTTTCCCTCCCGGCTTTAGACAAGAAAACAAGCTGGGATTTGACCAAAATTAAAGTCCTCAAAGTAGTAAAAAGGAGAATTGTAAACAGGAATGAATCCAGGATCGTATTCAGTACCTCAAATAGTGTTCTTTAGGCCGTTAGCTAAGTGATTACTGTAAAATTCTTATTGGTGGAGAAAAGTGGGTGTCACATCAGAACCTACACTCACAAATAAGGAATGGTGGCTGCAGCTGCGTTGATCCAGCTCTCCCCACTGCTTCCTCTCCCTGAACCAGCTGGCTAGAACCAGCCCGACAACAACAGTCTTCACAGTTAGCATAGCTAAATACTGATCTAGCCTTTCCCCACCCACATCCCTCCTCCTTTTCCGCCACTCCATTTCTACACATTAAACTGAGCGTCTAACTATACTAAGAAAATGCCAATGCCAGACACAAAGGAGGATGGGGGCGGGGGAGGCAGTGAACACCTTACGTTTGCTAAATCAGAAGAAAAGGGTGTAAAGAAAGATAAGACTTAAAAAGAGTAATGTAGGTTTCACTCTCCTTTTTTAATTGTATCTGGTTGTTAGGAATATTTCTTTTTCTCTATTACACAGGAATAACCTGGAATGCTTGTTTAAAATGCGGATTCCTTGGCCCTCACCTCTGACCTTTTGACTCAGACTGTGTATCCACATTTTTTTTTAAAGATTTTATTTACTTGAGAGAAACAGAGGAGAGACAGAGGGAGAAGCAGACTCCCCCTTGAGCAGGGAGCCAGATTCGGGACTTGGTTCTGTGACTCCAGGATCGCCACCGGAGCCCAAGGTAGTCACTTAAGCAGTCGCTTAACCAACTGAGCTACCCAGGTGCCCTGTGTATCTGCATTTTGAGACAAACTCAAAACTTACAGAATCAGCCATGACTGCCTTTTTAATTCGCATCC